AAATTTCCTATATAGAAGGACCTAGATCTCTGAGTTGAAAGGATCCACTAGTCCAGTACAAGATCAAAAAAATCCCGGGACCAGCAGTTAGTGTAATGGCTATGTCGCTAGACTCCCACGTAGTCGACCACGGTTCGCATCCCGGACCTGGTGGCTTAAAACTCATGCCGGGCATGTGTAGGTGCGTGCCCAAGAACCCGAGAATGGAGGAGAAGGGATTGTGGCGTGGCCATTCCCCCCGGGGAGAGATTTATTGGCAATCTGTCTCTCTGTCTGTCTCTGTCTGGCGAGTGCACACACCCAATAGCAAAAACCTCTCCAAAAAAAAAATGTTATAACAAACATATCATCATGAAATTTCAGAATAATGGCAATATAAATATATGACTGGATCATCAAAAAGTCATAGTGTATTTTTCTATGTTTCTCTCTCTTCTTTTTTTGTTTTTGTTTTTGAGAGATCATTGCTATCGGGCACAAGCACTTGCCAGAGAGACAGAGAGGAAGATAGAGAGAGAGAAATTACTCCCAGGGAGATGGCCACAATGGAGAAGGCAATCTCTTCTCCATTCTCCTCTTGGGATTTTGGGCATGCACACACATGCACCTAGCATGAGTTTCAAGCCGCCAGCCCAGTACGGCATGTGGAAACCCAGCACCTTAACCACTACACTACCTGCTGGTTCCTCAGTATTTTTCTATGCAGAAATGTGGCAACCTGGGTTGTCAGGAAAGTTATGATGTATTTTTCTGTTTTTCTATGCAAAAATGCATCATGATGTCCCTGATGGCCCTATATCTTTAACTAATTAATTAAATGCAATAATGCCTACATTATTAAAGTAATGCCATTTCTACTTTTGATTAAAAATTAAGAAAATAGTCTACTGTGGTTTTGAAAGCTACTAACTGAAAGATGCTTTAGGGGATAGCATAAAAGGAATCTTAAAAAATCAAATGCCATTCTTCATATATTTTTTAAAATTTTCTCTTCTATAAAAGTACATCACAAATAACTTCCTGGGTCTGATGTTTTGTAAATGTTTAGTAGTCCACTTACAAAAACAAAAAAACAAAACAAAATAGGGGCTTCCCTTTTCCTAAATGTAAGCAACATCATGAACTGGCCTTCTTCTTGTCTAATGTGTACTGTTTTTCTAATTATATATAGAGTCTAATAATATATAGAGTCCTTATAGTCAAATAATTAAAAATACTAATTTTCATTAGCAATTTATAGATTAGTATTTATGTACTTTAAATATTTGAAATACACCATCACTGTATACCTCAGAGACATCTATACTGCTTCTTCTACCTATTGTAGAATACCCTTCCTCTTCATCTATAGTCTAAATAATCTCAGTCTAAAGCAAATTGAATAGTTCAAATATTCATTGCAATCTGAATGAATCTGATCACGTGAATCTGAAGAAATTACTTGAACCTATTTTCTTCATCTGTACTATAGATATCTACCTAATGAAAGTATTAGATAATAACTGCTGAATCAAATTTAACTTCCAAAATAAGCCATTAGATTTTACTTTCCTTCAGTTCTGAACTACAGTGACAGTCTATACCATGCAATTCAATGTTTAACATATAAGATTTCAAACAGTTCACCATTTCTTCATGTGTCATAATTTTATATGTCCAAGGCTAAAGTGAATTCATTGGAAATCTATTTCCCCTATACATCAGATGGGCAGCATACAAAAATCTATGGACTGGATGAATTCAGGCAATATCTAATTTTTTAAAAGCAGGGAGGCCTATTGTATACTCATAGTAAAGGTGTCACTTACACTCACTAGGTGGGCTACACTGTTTACCCAACATTTATAAGCTGAGTTCTTAATACTCACTACCTCCTAATGTGACTATATTTTGAAAAAGGCCTTTGGGAGTAATTAAATTAAAATGAGATTGCTATTATAGGCCCTAATCTAAGACAATGAATGTGTCACAAACACAATGAATAGATGGAAGATCATGTGAAGACATAGGAGAAGATGGTTGATCCATAAGCCAAGGAGAACCTTTCCCTCACAGCTCTCAAAAGAAAACAATCCTACTGATACCTCAGACTTAGACTTCTAGCCTCAAGACTTGAGAGAAAATAAATTTCCATTGCCTCAGTACAACAGGCCTAGCAATCTAATAGAGAACAGCACTAGTACTGTTAATATCTCTTGAACATTGTGTTGAGCAAAAACATTTCTTAATAGTAGTAGCTTTATAGGCACTGGCAGGTGGTATGGTGGTTAAGGCACTGGACTCCCATATTGCCAACCATTGTTCAAGTCCCGGACCTGGCAGTTTGCTTGCTCCTCTTGCTCTTGTTTGCGCTCTGTGTGTGTGTGTGTGTGTGTGTGTCTTTCTGGTCAAATTGAAGAAGAAAAAATAAAAAATAATAATAAATCATTTCTTTAAAAATAATAATAGCTGTTTAGAAATAGTTTAGAAATAGTTTTTTTTTGTTATGCATAGAAAAGACATATATAATGCATATCAACCTGACAATAGTAGTTATCACTAGTAACAGAGAGAAAACATTTATGCTTTGCTCATTTTTTTTTACTTACACTATTTATGTTTATGTGAACATTTGTTACTTTAACAATCGTAGGTGTTTTTAAAAGAAAAGAAAAAAAGACAAAAAAGTCCCCCACCTCTCATTCTTTCTCCTGAAACAAAATTGGTGGCAGCAACACTTACTTTTTGGTTGAAAAAGGTTGTCGCCCATCAAGTTGCAGAGTTAACTTTCTGTAAATTGTCACCTAAGTACTGACACATGACATAAGTCAATTTTATGAATCACTTTAAATAACAAATATTAAAATTTAAGATTAGAAAATTCTTAAATTCGATTTTAATCTCTAAACTCACCATGTGACTCCAGACAAGGCAGTAAGTTTTATCTTAGTTTTCCTTCCTATAAAAACAAGATGCCTAATATTAGAGTACATTTCATTAAATTAAATGTATACATATTTAATATAATCTTTTTCCTACAAAAAGTCCAATTTTTAAGTTGCTATGTTTGACTCACTTTACATAACTGATTCTTTCCTGAAAAAAAATTAATAAATAAAATAATTGTCTTAAGCCCTTACCACTTGAAGAAAACTGCCAAATTAGTAAATTAGAAGTGTTTTAAAGCATTATTGGCGGCCAGCTCCATGGTAGTAATGTACTGCTCATGAAACAATGGATCACACATAGCAACCATATTTGAAATCCTTGCAGCCAGTTGGCCTAAAACAAGCCATGCATGCTTTCCAGTGCCCAAGATCCAAAGGGCCAGAGAACCAGAGGAAGTGGACCAGATCACAGTATGACCACAGAAGGTACTCTCCTTTTTCTCTCCCTTGTGTGTGCCCTCCCTCCCTCTCTCTCTCTCTCTCTCTCTCATGTACAAGCTCGCCTATCATAAATAAAATAAGGTACTGTTTCCTAACAATTAGTAATCTCATAATGTATTGTTTTAGTAAATCAGACTTTCCAAATACTAAGTGACATTAATCTTCAGCTTTTACCTATTCTTTACATTTGAGAAATAAATTATTTCTCTAACAAAACATGATTTTAAATAAACTTTATATTTTTCTGGTTTTCCAAAATCAAGTAACTAAAAAAAAAAAAAAAAAACAGAAAGCTGATTGGATATATTTCATCATAGTTTAATTCATTCAAAAAATAGCTACTGTTTTGTATTCAAGGCCACATGCTAAGTTCTGGTAGGGTGGGGAGGGGGGGACAAAGATGAATAAGTCATAGCCTTCAGAAGTTTTCAGCCTAGGGAACCAGCAGTTAGCATAATGGCTATGTCGCTGGATTCCCACGTAGTCGACCGTGGTTCACGTCCGGACCCGGTGGCTTAGAACTCACGCCGGGCGTGTGTGCGTGCGTGCCCAAGATCCCGAGAGGAGAATGGAGGAGAAGGGATTGCAGCGTGACCATCGCCCCTGGGGGGTGATTTCTCGCTTTCTGTCTCTCTGTCTCTCTCTGTCTGTCTGGCGAGCACACGCGCCCTATAGCGAAAACCTCTTAAAAAAATAAATAAATAAATAAAAATAAATAAAATTTAAAAAAAAGAAGACGTTTTCAGCCTAATACATCTATAATTTCACTGGGCTTTTTAAAAATGCTACTAGGCTAAACATTCATATTTTTTAAAAATTAGAATCCTTTATTCAGACCAATAATTTGTTTTATGAATTCCCAAATACATGCAAGATCATAAATTTTACAAAATAAACAAGCTTTTTTTTTTCTTTTGTTTGCCATAGGGTGCATACAATTGCTAGAAAAAGAGAGAGAGAGAGAGAGAGGAAAAGGTGAGAAATCACACACACACTCCCACCATGGGAGATGGCCACACCACAACCCTTTCTCTTTTCAGGATTTTGGGAACACATGTATATATATATATGCCCGGTGTGTCAGGCCATCAGGTCCAGAACTTCAACCTGCTGAGTTGGTCTTATGAGATCCAGAACCTTAGCCACCATGCTACCTGCTGGCCCTCAAAAAAACAGCTTTATTTATTTTTAAAGAATTGTTTATTTAATTTTATTTATAATTATTATTATTCTTTTTTTAACCAGAGAGAGGAAAAGTGAGAAAGCAAGCTACCAGGTCTGGGACTCTAACAGTGGTTGACCATGTGGGAGTCCTGCACCTTAACCACCACACCACTTGCCAGCCCCAATAAGTAAGCTTTTTTAAAAACTGCTTTAATTGTAAAGAAGAAAAGGTAAAAAATAAGTAGACACTGAAAACCTAAAAATATTGGACAACACAACTAATTTAATCTTCACATTCCTGTTTATCCTCAGGCTAACAAAAACATATTTACCTGCTTTTCCATTTCCAAATTATTTGGATAGAATTTGTCCAAAGGAAACAAATTATTTTAACTTCAGAAGTTATTGTTATAAATGTTTGAGTTACTACCACAAGAGACTCTAATAAATCTTGTGTTTAACAAAATATCCATAGTTCTGTTTCAAGCTCTTTATTTAAATAGTTATAGGTTGTCCCTAAGCTAGAATAGTTATAATGTTTATATAAAGTAAACAACCTAAGAACCCAAGTGAGAATACATAACAATAAGAATACAGAACAAAGTATTTACTTGTTTATTTAATTCCATTTGTTATCATTATTATATTTTTTTGCAGGGAGAGGTTTTTGCTATAGGGCTTGTGCGATCGACAGAAAGACAGAGAGAGACAAAAAGTGAGAAATCACCCCCCAGGGGGATGGTCATGATGCAATCCCTTCTCCTCCATTCTCTCTCGAGATCTTAGGCACATACGCACACACACCTGACACGCACCTGGTGTGAGTTTAAGCCACCAGGTCTGGGACTTGAACCATGGTTGACTACATGGGAGCCTAGCAACATAGCCATTATGCTAACTGCTGGTCCCATGTTATTATTTTTTAATTTGACCAGAGAAAAACAGAGAGAGAGAGAGAGAGAGGGAAAGCAAGAAAGCAAGCTTCCAGGTCTGAGACTCGAACCATGGTCGGCCATGTGGGAGTCCAGCACCTTTAAACACCATGCCACCTGCCAGCCCTGAATCCAGAACATTTTTAAGAGTCACAATTATACAGTCTATAAGACTAATACATAATATTTGTATCAAATTATCATATAAATATCTACTGGGAAATGCCTCAGAATGTTGGTGGTAAGACATAGATACTTTTTTTTTTTTTGAGAGGTTTTTCACTATAGGGCGCGTGCACTCGCCAGACAGACAGAGAGAGACAGAGAGACAGAAAGCGAGAAATCATCCCCCAGAGGGGATGGCCACGCCGCAATCCCTTCTCCTCCATTCTCCTCTTGGGATCTTGGGCACGCACGCACACGCGCCCGGCGTGGGTTTTAAGCCACCGGGCGCGGGACGTGAACCGTGGTCGACTACGTGGGAGTCTAGCGACATAGCCATTACGCTAACTGCTGGTTCCCGTAAGACATAAATTCTATGAGAAATTAAAACAACTCCTAGAGAAGCAGACTATCCAAGAGTGGAAATTAAAAAGCTCCAAAAACTATCTATTGATATCAATAGCTTCTAGAGCTCAGAATTGGTTCTAAATTTAAAAAGCTAGAAAAAGAGAGAACTCTGCTTTAGCTACTAACTCAGGTATAGATTTCATGGTCATGTTCAATATACTGTTTATACATGGGAAAAAATTAATTTTAAGTAACTGATTTATCAAAAGTCCTTTAAATATAATCCATTAATTTTTAGAGACTGCCCAAATAAATAATTACAATTCCCATTTTATTAATTTGTTGTTTCTCCTTTTATACATCTAATATTCAACTCTCTTAAAGGATTTTTTTCTAAAAATAAATTTTAGACAGTAATGGAAATATGGGTATAAGTTTTCAAATTTTTAAAACTTCATTTTAATCTGCTGATAGATGTCACCTGATGCAATGTCACTTTGTTAAATAACAGTGGAATACATTTGATCTAGCACATAGTTCACACTGAAGACATAGGTATGCTATATACTAATTATATGAAATGTCTTCAAAAGTTCGTGAAATATATGCATTACAAAAAATAATGCAAGGATTTCAAAAATTTTGGCATCAAAATAAACTCATACTTCAATTCCATTTTTCCATGAACTTTTTGAGGTCCCCTCACAGTTCTCTTTATTCCTTCATAAGGGAAAGATTAAGCAACTCCAAAAACCAAAGCTGCAGTGTCTGCATATAAAAAAAAGAGTACCAGGAGAACACAAGTCATAGTCTAGCATTGGCACAACTTTCAACCAAGTTACCTATGATTCCTAATTCAACTGAATGATCCAAGTCTAATTCAGCTTTAAAAACCTATGGCTGTGTATTTTAAACATTTATTAGTCATGAACAATAAAATGTAAAGAATGAATGCCAGGTTCAAATTCTGGCTCAACCAGTATTAGCTGTATGACTTTGGACAAATCAGTTAACCTCCACGTCTCGCTTTACTGACACAAAGACTTATAAGAGAGTGTGAGCTTATTTCACAGGCTTATGAGGAAGAGTAAATGAGATAATATATGTAAAGCACATAATGGTTACATGGCTGGACTCCCAAATTGCCGACCGCATTTAGAGAGCCAGTGGTTTGAAAATCACACCAAGTACATGTGCATGTGTGCCCAAGATCCCAGGAGAATGGGGGAGAAGAGACTGCAGTGTGGCTATCCTCCCCGGTGGGTGATTTCTCACTATCCTTCCTACTGCCTCTGTCTTTTGTCTCTCTCCAGCAAGCCCACTTACCCTATGGGAAAACCTCTTAAAAATTTTGTGTGCGTGTGTACACACACACACACACACATACACACACACTAAATGTTCACACTCTATGGCAGAAACTGAATGGCAGATATAAAAGCATGGAGAACAATTGTAGATACTACAGACAGTGTGGGAGGAGGGTGGCAAATGCGGAAAGGGTAAGAGAAAGGGAATCAAGGGGGAAAAAATGATGTAAAACATTTAAGGGACACAAAAATGGAAAGTTATCTGTTGATGACAATATATATAATATCTTTAGCTGGACCAATACACAGTGTATTCATGTTGGAAAAATTCATTTTAAAAGCTGTAATGATTTACAGTGATTGAATGTGTAAAAAATAAATTATGGGAAAAATAAAAAAGATTATTTCATTCTGTGTGCATTTCTGTTTTATTTTCTAAAAAAAGTCCTTTTATTAAAAAAAGAAGGTATCTGGTAAGTAGACTATAATAATGAATATGAGGAATATGGTGAATGGTTAAGTTCCTCATATTTCCAGAGCCCATAACTTCAAAATATTCAATGAAATAATCCAAGAAATCCCATTTTAAAGCTAGTATTTGCTTTCCCCCTATTATAAAAATAGTATTTTGAGCCAGGTGGTGGTGTAGCTGGA